CAATATTGAAAGAAAATAAAAAGTTAACTATTGTACTATTCAATTAAATACGCTTAAAAATGAAACATATGTCTGTTCAATAGTGACATAATTTGTTTGACCTCACCAAAATTTATCCTAAACCCAACTCGGGGAGTAATGTTAAAATTTTTGGTATCTTTCGAATTTCGTTTTGGATTGTACAGTTGTAATTAACTACTAGTTGTACTTTAAACGAGAGTATGTGAAGGGTTAGAGTTTGTTATCTTATGGATTGAATACAAATCTTAGCAAATCTCTCGTAAAAAATACGAGGAATATAGAAATATTAATATGAGCAATATGGACTATAATCATATTAATCCTCCTCTTAAGGACCCTTGTGTTACTAGAAAAACTCATCTACTATTTTAAAGAACCTGTCGTGTGCCCAAATACGAGGGAACAAGGGTCAAAATATACAGTCCTTGTGCTTGTAAAAGTCGACCAATCTACAGAAAAACCAAATTGTATTAAATGAGAACCTCGAATTGTGTGGACATTTCGTGTAAAGAAAACAGATAACAAGACAAAGATATGCATATTCCTTTAACTTCTCTCCATTTGTTGTCAACTTGTTTACTCCACTGCTTGCAATTTAAGGATTCTTTAAAGAACGTTGTATGTTCATTTCAATTTCAAACAACTAAGTAAAATGGGAATTGAAAAAAATCCCCCACTTTCTCAGGCCCAAGAAACCCTGCTACTGGTTACTTGTAATGCTTCTCTTGACTACCAAATCGAGTTTAATTCTTACGCCATCCTAAGTTTTGTCAATCAATAATGCTATAAGCTCATGTATTCAATCACAGAACTTTTACATAATTTTAAAAAATGATGACGTGACAAAGGAAAAAAAATGTGGGTTTATCTAACAGCCCTGAAAGTGTAGCACGGTTCGAAAAAGGTACACTACACGTAATTTTTTTTAAAAAAGAAAGAAATGAAAACTCTTTTTAACATGTCAATTTTTGAGATAATTATACAATGTCAATTGTAGTCGAAATATTACATTTTTAATATCATTTCGAAGTGCTCACGACCTATTTTTTCACGTCGTTAATAGAGTGCAAAATGGTTAATCGTAGCAAATATTACCGCACATCAAAGTACACCACTCCAAACTAATATTTCAAGAATTTTGATAACACGATAACTTTAAAAAAATTTCGATGATCGTACGCTAGTCGAATTCTTAAAATTGCATACATTATCTTAAACTTCGTTTCGAGAACTACATCATGGACAAATTGAAATGTCTAAACGAACATCGAAAATGGTTAAACGTACGTCAAATGTACGTGTTTAAAAGAGATGTATTCTTTAAAAAAAATTTAAATTGTTTCATTAACGTTTATATATTTTTTACAAGCAATAAAATTGATTAACCAAACTCAAAATCAATTAAAAAGGAAAATCTTCTAATATATTCATTTCCAAGTATAGTCAAAACTCGTCTTTCGTCTTAACTAGAGCATATTCAAAAATAGGACCAATAAAATGTCATCGGTGAATTTGCTTCAAGATCCTTATCGATGGATTTGTCAAGGGTGGCATTTTTTTACAAGCCCAACTGGGCCGACATGACCCATTTTGGGTGACTTCTCAAGTGCTACATGAAATATTGATTTCGAGCAAGAATAATGCTCCTTGGATACGGCGATGACAAGGATGTGGATGATAGGATGGTGTGACAGACAGTGATTGGACGTTGTTTTTTTTTTTTATTTTTAATATCAAATCGAGTATTGACACATGTCTCCTCTGTCATTGATGTAGCAAAATTGTTCAAGAAGTGATAACTCAGTCCTTGTAGTTTCTTATATCCATGAATAGTAAAAGAATCTAGTGAATTCCTAGGTAAAAGATGAGTGGTAGCTATTACAATTAAGGAAATCCCTCCTGCCAGCTATTTCAATTAAGAAACTCCCTCCTACCCCAGTCGAAAGGTACACAACAACGATAATAAATATGAAGAACTATAGAGACATGACGTATTTATTACGAAGGTACAAATTTATGTAGTTTAAAAATAAATGGGATAATGCTTCTCTATATAATCTCCTAGTTTAACAAATAAGTAATTATTAAAATGAGTTTTTTGGAGAAAAATGAGTCTTGAAATAGTGATATTCGGAAAAAATGTGAGGTTGAAAAAATATAAAAATAAATTTGGAATTTACGTGCAGAATATTTTACTATGAGAATATGATTGAAAATGAGTTTAAGAAAAAAAAGAATTTTGTTTTAATGATTGTCAAATAGTGGTTAAGTTATATTTGGTGTTGAGTCATGCTCCGTATCGGGTAACAAAAAAAGAGACGGGATACAAGCTGGAGAATGAAGAAAATACTAGAGCATGCACGAAGTAATCGAATCGTTCTTCCATTCCTTTCATTGGCACATCTGGACTTTGAACCAGAAACCTCATTCACGATCCTCGCACTAACTATCCAACCAATTGGAAGACAGTTTACTTGCAAATCTGCAAAAAATGATGAATGTTGTATATAGTTCACAAAGATATAGATTAATTCTCTTGCAAGGCAACTGACTGAAGTGAATAGTCTAACGTTTGTATGGAGTTGGGGCCACAAGGGGTAGGGTGGACTGGTGGTGCCGCAGTGAAAACATTGTCCTAGCAAAACAACTTATTGCCCACACTTCCAAATCTCTGCACAAGAACGAGAGAACAGGGGAAGGAGTGAGGAACCCAAGTTGGAGGAGGGGAGCACGTGCAAACTTCATACAGACTAGGTCTCGACTCTCAGGTCGAGAATTTGCACGTGCCCTGCTTCTCCAACACGAGCTACTCGCTCATTACAACCACATTGCATTCTACCCTTATCAACCTATATAACTCAAACAAAAGTAGTGTGGATACAAGCATGGCACAAGTCATGTATTTAAAGAGAAAAGAGAGGAGAGAGAAAGAAAGTGAAAGGAGAGTGGGGAAATTAAAGCGATGGAGTCTTGGAGTGGGCATTCTTTAAAGACCATCATGCAAGCAAAACAAGGCAATCAAGTATGATATATTCATTTCAACAACAATTGATGTTAGTGGAGAAAAAACAAGTCTTTG